TGTTAACCAATGTCATAAAACAATGTGTACTACTGTTTCATGAGAAACTATTTGTTCTGTAAGCCTTCACCTGAAGTACAATTTAAAAAAAAAAAAAAGTGATTCCAGTGATAATGTAGACATTGACAGTAAATATGCATTGAAAGAATTTGAATATATAATTAAATGTGTGAATAGGCAAAAAATTGTTCTTAACCACTACACCATCAGGGCTTCTTACATATTTTAAAATATGAATGTCTGACTAAATTATAAAGTAAATATTACACGTATACATCTGACTACTTCATTTGTAGCTTTAAAAGTTTATATACCAAAGTGGGCCCATATTTCAGGTTGCCTTATATTTGGGTAAGTAGAAAATTTTCTTTTTATAGAGGAGAACAGTCACACAGTCAAGTATTTATGAGTATTTGGTAATATGTAATTCCAATTCATCCCATATAACTAAATATTCTGCTTGGGGTTGAGCATTTACAGATATAGGAGTGCAACCGGCAAAGATATGAAGCACAAATGTCAACGGCAGCACACCAGGCATTCTGCGTCAGCTCTTCCCACATCCAGGCATCATTCACATATTCCCAAAACATCTGTTCCCTGGTAGGCTGCCCAGAGTCCTCCATCATGGGGAATCCTCTGGGGTCTCTTAAATGCATCTACCATACTGCCTTGAACAACAGTGGGGCCCAAAAACATTTGCAGAAGCGAGAAAAGAAGAGAAGGTCTGAGGGAGACAAAGAAAGAAACCACCTCTATCTGCCCTGTGAGAAGACAAATGAAGGCATATCACCACAGGGACACTTTCAACCTTAGCACAGGGAGCACCGTACTATACCAGAACATATTGCTAAGCTGACGTTTTTAAAAACGTCCCTATAGTTTCATTTCATTTGCTTAAAAGTTAATTCAGGGCAGGAAACAAACAAAGAAAAACACAAAACCTTAAAAAAAAGTCCCTAATGAAAGATTTCATTTAATGACTGGCCGACTATAATTTCATAAGGAATAAAAGTTTATTGGTGGTTTAAAAAGGGCAAACCTAATATAATGCTTTCCTGTCAAGTTGTAAATAGACACTATCTCCAATATAATTTTCTAGAATGTAGTACCTTTCTACCTATAATACAAAAAACAGTGTGGATGACACCAAGATACAGAGAATATTGTATTTTTAATTAAATCAATTTTGCCTTGTTTTTCCATGATACAGAATATTTAAGAAATGTACAGCTGTGTCTCTCTGAGGAAATTTAAAAAAAAAAAAAAAAAAAAACCTTCCAACAAAAAAAGGCCTTGTCCGGACGGCTTCACTGGAGAATTCTACCAAACTCTCAGAGAAGAGCTAACACCAATAATACACAAGCTATTTAAGAGCATAGAAAAGGAAAGAATACTCCCAAACTCTTTCTGTGAAGCCAGCATAACCCTGATACCAAAGCCAGGCAAAGACACCACTGAAGAAAGAAAAATACAGACCAATATCCCTCATGAACATAAAAAAAAAAAAAAAAACCATTGCCATTGAGTCAATTCTGACTCATAGCAACCCTATATGACAGAGTAGAACTTCCCCATTGGGTTTCCAAGGAGTGTCTGGTGGATTTGAACTGCCAAACTTTGGGATAGCAGCCGATCTCTTAAACACTGTGCCAGCAGGGTTCCCTCATGAACACAGATGCAAAAATTCTTGATAAAATTCTAGCCAATAGAATTCAACAGCATATAAAATAATAATAATAATAATACATCATGACCAAGTGAGATTCACATCAGGTATGCAGGGATGGTTCAACATTAGAAAATCAATCAATGTAATCCACCACATAAATAAAAGAACCACATGATCTTATGAATCAACACAAAAAAGGCGTTTGACAAAGTCCAACACCCATTAATGATAAAACTTCTCAGTAAAATAGGAATAGAAGGAAAATTCATCTACATAATACAGGGCATTTATTCAAAGCTAGCAACCAACATCATTCTAAATGGAGAGAGACTGGAAGCATTCCTCTTGAGAAAGTGAACCAGACAAGAATGCCCTTTATCCCCACTATTATTCAGCATTGTGCTGGAAATCCTAGCTAGAGCAATAAGGCAAGAAAAAGAAACAAAAGGCATCCAAATTGGTAAGGAAGAGGTAAAACTGTCCCTATTTGCAGACAATATGATTTTATACACAGAAAACCCAAAAAAATCCACAAGAAAGCTACTGGAACTGATAGAAGATTTCAGTAACATAGCAGGATACAAGATTAACATACAAAAATCAGTTGGATTCCTCTATACCAACAAAGAGAACTTCGAAAAAGAAATCACCAAATCAATACCATTTACAATAGCCCCCAAGAAGATAAAGTACTTAGGAATAAATCTAACCAGGGATGTAAAAGACCTATACCAAAAAACAAAACAAAACTACAAAACACTACTGTAAGAAACCAAAATACACCTCCATAAGTGGAAAAACATACCTTGCTCATGGATAGGAAGACTCAACATTGTGAAAATGTCAATTCTACCCAAATCAATCTACAGGTATAATGCATTCCCGATCCAAATACCAACAGCATTCTTTAACGAGATGGAGAAATTAATAACTAACTTTATACAGAAAGGGAATTGGCCCTGGGGAAGTAAAGCATTACTGATGAAGAAGAACAAAGTGGGAGGCTTCACACCACCTAATTTTAGAAACCATTGTACAGCACAGTAGTCAAAACAGCCTGGTACTGGTAAAACAAGAGACACATAGACCAATGGAACAGAATTGAGAACCCAGAAGTAAATCCACCATCTATGTAGTTGTTATTGTTAGGTGCCGTTGAGTCTGTTCCGACTCACAGCAACCCTATGTACAACAGAACAAAATACTACCTGGTCCTGCGTCACCCTCACAATCATTGTTATTCTTGAGCCCATTGTTGCAGCCACTGTGTCAGTCCATCTCGTTGAAGGTCTTCCTCTCTTTCGATGACCCTCTACTTTACCAAGCATGATGTACTTCTCAAGGGACTGGTCCCTCATGATCACATGTCCAAAGTATGTGAGATGAAGTCTTGCCATCCTTGCCTCTTAGGAGCATTCTGGTTGTACTTCTTCCAAGACAGATGTGTTCATTCTTTTGGCAGTCCATGGTATATTCAATATTCTTCGCCAACACCATAATTAAAAGGCATCAATTCTTCTTTGGTCTTCCTTATTTATTGTCCAGCTTTTGCATGCATATAAGGCAATTGAAAACACCATGGTTTGGGTCAGGCACA